ACCATGAGAGACTGTGGACTCTGAGAAACAAACTGAGGGTTTTAGAGGGGAAGGGAGTGGGAGGATGGGTTAGCCTGGTGATGGGTATTAAGGAGGGCATGTATTGCATGGAGCACTGGGTGTTATATGCAAACAATGAATCATGGAACACTACATCAAAAACTAATGATGTAATGTACAGTGTCTAATATAATAAAATTTAAAAAAAAGAAAAAGAAAATGGGAAAGAAATATGAGAAAATATTTCACTGAAGAGGATATACAGAGAGCAAATAAGCACATGAAAAGTGGATCAACATCATTAGTTATTATGGAAATGTAAAATAAAAAAACAATGAGATATCACCACACATCTACTAGTAGAGCTAAAGTAAAGAATAGTACAACTAGCAAATGATGGTGAGGATGTGCAAAAACTGAATCATCCATTCATTGTTGGTGGGAATGTACATTATTGGTCGGATGGTAAAGCTACTCTGAAAAACAGCTTGGCAGTCTTAAAAAAACTAAACATGGGATTACAATTGCCCTTCAAGGCATTTTTTCCAGAGAAACAAAAATTTACGTTCACATAAAAACCTGTACAGGAATGATTATAGCAGCTTTACTGATAATAGCCATAAACTGGAAGGAACTCAGGTGACCTTTATTTTTTATTATTTTTTTTATTAAACCCAGGTGACCTTTAACAGGTAAACGGTAAAAACAAACTGTGGTATAGTCTTACCATGACTACCACTCGACAATAAAAATATACACTACTGATACCTTCAACAACCTGGATAAATCTCCAGAGAATGATGCAGAACAAAACTGTCAATCCCAAAAGGTTACATACTATATGATTCCATTGATATAACACTCTTTTTTTTTTTTAAAGATTTTATTTATTTATTTGAGAGAGAGAATGAGATAGAGAGAGCATGAAAGGGGGGAGGGGCAGAGGGAGAAGCAGACTCCCCACCGAGCAGGGAGCCTGACGTGGGACTCAATCCCGGGACTCCAGGATCATGACCTGAGCCGAAGGCAGTCGCTTAACCAACTGAGCCACCCAGGCGCCCGATATAACACTCTTGAAATGACAAAATTATGGAAATGGAGACTAGGTAAGTGGTTGCCAAGGGTTAAGAAGGGGGTGAGGACAAAAGGGAAGTGGATATGGCCATAAAAGGGAAACATGAAGAATCCTTGTGATGGGAATGTTCTGTATCTTGACAGTTCAATGTCAATATCCTGGATGTGATATTATACTATAGTTTTGCAAGACATCATAGAGAAAAACTGAATAAAGGGTCCACAGCATCTCTTTGTATTATTTCTTTCAACTGCATGTGAATCTACAATTATCCCAAAATAAAAAGCTTAATTAAAAAAAATAGTAGCAGACTCCTGGTTTCTAGTCCGGTATATAAGGAGCTTAGAAGCTGCCACTCTGGCATCCTGACAACAAGCAAAAAGCTAGCAAACTTACTAAATCAACAATCTCAGGGGCGCCTGGGTGGCACAGTCAGTTAAGCATCTTGGTTTCAGTTCAGGTCGTGATCTCAGGGTTGTGAGATTAAGACTTATGTTAGGCTCAGTGCTCAGCACGCTCTCTCTCTCTCAATCTCTCTCTCAGAAATAAATAAATCTTAAAAAGAAATCAACAATCGGGACACCTGGGTGGCTCAGTTGGTTAAGCGGCTGCCTTCGGCTCAGGTCATGATCCCAGGGTCCTGGGATCAAGTCCTGCATCGGGCTCCCTGCTCAGCGGGAAGCCTGCTTCTCCCTCTGCCTGCCACTCCCCCTGCTTGTGCTCTCTAATGCTCTCTCTGACAAATAAATAAATAAAATCTTAAAAAAAAAAAAGAAATCAACAGTCTTAGATCCATAAGAGAAGTGAGGTCTCCGGATTGGAGAGACAGACAAGTAAATACAGACAATCAGAACTTACCATAGTGGAAATCCATGAGCAGAAATTTCTATGGGAACCAGTGCTGAGGTAGGAAAACCTGTAACTGATGAATTGCTAGAGGCTCAGTGTAGATGCCTCTAAGAGTTAAAAACTCTAAAGGGACCCAGCATTGAAGGGTGGGGGAGACCACACTTTTGTGAGTTTTACCCCCTGAAGCTCTATCAGGTTCGCACAGTGAGTATCAGAGAAAAAGCCTTTCACGCTTCCCGAGCAGGAGAAGAAATGGAATCATTTTGAAATATACCAGAGCATTCTATTCTTAGGTTTGCTCTCAGGAGAAACTATTTAACCAGAGCCTAACCTGCTGGGGTTTTATCTGAGCCTAACTGACCTGGAAGAAGGTAAATACTCAACTCCAGGACCCCCGTAGCCTTCCATGTGGGAAAAGGGAAACACCATAATCAAGGATTCCAATGACAAGGGAGCATCCAGACCCAAAGGCACCAGCTCTAAAGATAGAGGGAGGACCCCTTCCTCTGCTTGCTTGGATTTTTATGGCTTGATGCTGACCTCACCCTTCTATTGTAGTTATTACAGCAAAGGCTCAAAGCCAGTGGAACACACTAGATGAGGCCTGATCCTTCTCTGTAACATTGGTATGGTCCAATGGGTCTACCACATCTCTGAACATAGCAACACAGATGACCCAGATTTCATCTCTAGTCTTGAAGAGGCCCCAATTGTCCCTAAATCCAGATAATTCTTCTTATAGGGAAATCCCCTCCCAAATTAACAGAGCCATGTGCCTCCACTTTGTGGGGACCTCCCATACTATTCAGGAGGCACTAGAAGGAGTAAACTTAATGGCACCTCATGAAAGAGACACTTAACTAGACTCCCAGATTTTATAATACCAAGGCAGCCCACAAACCCAAGGCCAGCCTTCAGGTGCCAAGCCCTACAACCCACCTTTCAGAGCAACATTCCTGGAGCCTCCTGGTCCTGGAGCTCCTATGCCAAATCTGTCAGGAAGCAATGTCTGAGACATTTCAAATAGCAGGGGGCCTTGTACTGGCAGCTCCACCAACTGGGGGTGCCCAATAATATATTGGGACAACCCGAGGTAAGCTCCTCTGTTTAAAACAAGTGATTACCTCACTACAGAGCCCAATCCTAATGTCTCAGAGGCCTTCAGAGAGTCCCAAGGCTCGCTCTCTCTCCCAAACAACTTCCCTGACCTGCAGGCTTGGCAGTGGCCCAGAGAATTACCCTAGGGATTTGGCAGACCCTCAGAGCTTGTCCCACCCGCACAACTGTCCATTTACAACTCCGGTGGCCCACTAGGTCAAAGGCAACCACCAGACGTTCCTGGCTCTATTAGACACAGAAGCCCAAGTCACAGTGATTCTAAACTCAGTCGTGGACACCGCGCATTCTTTTGCAAGGGGCACCCCTGCCAACCCAACGGAGCTCACTGAGATCTGCTCAACTAGCAGTAGGGCCCATACTTGTGGTCCCACCCTGAGCCAGGCCTCTAGGATGTACAGTTGACTCTGAACAATGTGGAAATGCACAATGGTATATAGCCACTTTGGAAGACAATTTGGCGGTTTCTTAGAAAACTAAATATACTCGGGTGCCTGGGTGGCTCAGTCGTTAAGCGTCTGCCTTCGGCTCAGGTCATGATCCCAGGGTCCTGGGATCGAGCCCCACATCGGGCTCCCTGCTTGGCGGGAAGCCTGCTTCTCCCTCTCCCACTCCCCTTGCTTGTGTTCCCTCTCTCGCTGTGTCTCTCCCTGTCAAATAAATAAATAAAATCTTAAAAAAAAAAAAGAAAACTAAATATACTCTTACCATATGATCCAGCAACTACACTCCTTGGTATTTACCTAAATGATTTGAAAACGTACAGCCACACAAAAGCCTGCATACAAATGTGTACAGCAGCTTTAGTCATAATCACTAAAACTGGAAATAACCAGGATATCCTTCAGTAGGTGACTGGATAGCCTGTGGTCCATCCACACAATGGAATGTTGTTCAGAGCGAAAAGGAAATGAGCTATAGAGCCAGGAAAAGGCATGGAGGAAACTTAAATGCACAGTACTTGATGAAATAAGTGAATCTAAAAAGGCATCATACTGTATGATTCCAAATTTATTACATCCTATAAAAGGTGAAACTGGAGACAGTAAAAAGATGAGTGGTTTCTAAGGGTTTGGAGTCAGGGGAGAGGAATGAACAGGGGGAGCACAGAGGATTTTAGGCTAGTGCAATTACTCTGTTGATACTTTCATGGTGGCTACATGTCATCTTACATTTGTTCAAACCCACAGAATGTACAACACCAAGAGTAAACCTTCATATAAACTATGCACAATGACTTGTCGATGTAGGTTCATCAATGGCAACAAACATCCCACTCTGCTTGGGGGATGTTGGTAGTGGGGAAGGCTATGTCATATGTAGAGGCAAGGGGTACATGGGAAATCTCTGTATCTTCTGCTCAATTTTGCTCTGAGCCTAGAACTGCTCTAAAAAATAAAGTTTATTTTTAAAAAGGAACAAAAAAAATAGTACCTACAGGAAAAGCACAACACCCTCAAGAGTTCAATACAAATTTCAAAAGAACAGACAACTGAATACATACTGTAATGTTTTTCGCTACTCTCTGCCTGACAAAACTTTACATATTTTTCAGGGTCCAACTCAAATACCACTTTCTCAGTATGTCTTCCCCAGCTTCTCAGCATACTCAGTCACTCACTTCCTTCACTCCCATCCTGCTATCACAGTGCCAACTCCATGTTATAGCAGTGTTCCAAATTCAGTGGGCATCAGAATCCCCTGGGGGAGCTTGTTAAAACAGATTTCTTGCCCCTGCCGATTTGAATTTGGAGACTCTGATTCTGGAGGCTATGAATTTCTATTTCTAACATCCTCCCAGATGATGCTGATGCTGCTGGTTCGTGGACCACACTTAAGAGTAGCACAGTATGGTTCATTCTACATCTGGCTGGCTCCTGTAAGACTGAAAGCTAAGCAAGCTACCTCATCCAGCACATAGTAGGCACTGAATAAACATCTTACTCTTTTTTGCTTCTTTTTATCAGCCTCTTCCTCTAAGTCTTGAAGAGCCCTTTGCACGAGCTTCATGTTCAAGTCCTGCTCTTCTCTGTATTTCTGCTGAATATGTTCTATCTTCTCTTGGAGGGCTTTTTGCAAAGCAGCTCTAATTTCCTGTTTTGTCTTCCGTTTCTTTAGCTTATCCTGTTCGTTCTCAAGTTTCACCTGTGCTTTGTTATTTTCCTAAGGTAAAACAATAATGAAGATTATGCATCAGTATAGCTGTACAAAACAAATAAGGTAATGCATTTCACTTAAGAGATTGAGAATCAAGGGTTTCTTGGAGATACACACACCTGAATTTAGAGGGACTGTAAGACAGAAAACTTGTGGGATGGGTTAGCCCGGTGATGGGTATTAAAGAGGGCACGTTCTGCATGGAGAACTGGGTGTTATACGCAAACAATGAATCATGGAACACTACATCAAAAACTAATGATGTAATGTATGGTGATTAACATAATATAATAATAAAAAAAATGGCTATGTCAAAAAAAAAGATAGAAAACTTGCTTTTCATTGCTGAGTCAGCAATAACACTTTGTGCTGTGAATGATTATGAAATAATAAATGGTTGTGGAGTTCAAAATGCAGAAAAGTATAGAGAGAAATCACTTTTAATCTTAGCACCCACCACCCACTACCACACTCAACATTTCAGTGTATTGGCTTTCTAGACTTTACTCTTCTCTGTACACCTGCAACATCTAGATATGGACACATTATTAAGCAGCAGTAGGAGTCCCAAACTGGAAATGTACCATCAGATGCATATACAAAATTAAATTGTATGCATTTTGTTCTTTAAAAGTAGTACTTTTTCCCCATTCCTCTCACTTCTTATCTTTCTGGCCCTCCGGGCTGGCTTAATTGCCTGGCCAACCAAGCAGTTTTAACTAGGGCACCAATGTTGTTGGGCATTGTGGGTTTGCTAGAAAATCTGGGTATGGTATAAACTGCAGCACTAGTCCTCCTGCCAGAGGCAGCTGAGCAGTCCTGGAGGGATAAGTACTTGCCCAGCTGGGACAAGAGATGACGTGGCAATAGTGAGGATGGTATACAATTCCCAACGTGATTTAACCAAGACTCACAACATCCGCAATCACACATGATCAACTGAGAAGACAGTTATATGCTAGACTTTCCTATTAATGTCATGAATAGTAAACCCTGAATTGTAGGGGTCAAAAGAAAATGTGAAAATCCTCTGCCACATCTAATGAAAAGCAATGGCTATCAAAAATGAAAGCCAGTAGAATAGCAGGCCACATTTTTTTAAAAGTAAGTCTGACTACACCAGGACGAAGCAATCAGCCAAATCCCCACTATGAGACCTGGGGGAGATGGGACAGGACAGGCGAGAAGTGTTCAAGATTAAAAGACCTAAAAGCAGTTCATCAAGTCTTGGTTTCTCCTGGGTAGTTCTGATTGTGCCCCTGTTGTGCTGATGTAATGAATTTATTGCATCCCTTTCGACCTCAATTTTGCCCTGGTTTGAATAAGAAAGAGTCCCTCTTTCTGAAGGGACTCTAAGAACCATGTTTGGATTCTGATTTAAATATCAAGTAATTCAGACAATGATGGAAATTTGATGTTGATTTAAGGTGACAAAAAGGAGGGCGCCTGGGTGGCTCAGTTGGTTAAGCGACTGCCTTCGGCTCAGGTCATGATCCTGGAGTCCTGGGATCGAGTCCCGCATCGGGCTCTCTGCTCGGCAGGGAGTCTGCTTCTCCCTCTGCCCCTCCCCCTCTCATGCTCTCTCTCTCTCTCATTCTCTCTCTCAAATAAATAAATAAAATCTTTAAAAAAAAAAAAAGGAATCACAGTTACTTTTTTTAGGTCTGATATTGGCATGTGTAAGAAAATGTCCTTAATCGTGTCATTGAGACGCATATTTGACATGTATTTAAGGGGGAAATGACATGTCTGGGATTGTTATTTTAAAACATAAAAATGGAGTGGGGTTGGGGGAGGTAGAGGAAACCAATATGGCAAAATTATACAGCTGCTGAAACAGGAAGAGGGGTAGACAGGGGTTCACTGTACTCTTGACTCTGTGCATTTGAAAATGTTCATAATAAAACATTTAAAAAGGGTGGAATTTATATAACATTCTCAAAATCACAAAATAATAATGATAAAGAATATATCAATGCTGTCAGGAGTTAGGGTGGAGGGAGGTTATAACTCTAAAGGAGTAGCTTTAAAGGAGTTTCTTTGGATGATGGAACAGTTCTGCATCCTGATTTTGGTAGTGGTTACAAAAATCTATACATGTGATAAAATTTCAAAGAACTACACCCCTTCCCCCCAGGACTACACGTAAAAACTGGTGAAATCCAAAGATTTTACTATATTTAAATAAAGAATGACTTTAATTGAAGGTATTACACCAATGTTAATTTCCTGGTTTGTTTTGTTTTCAAATGCAACTTATTTTTGCATGTTTATTTTGTATCCTGCAACTTTACTGAATTTGTTAATTAGACTGAACAGTTTTTGGGTAGTCTTTAGAATTTTTGCTGTATAAAACATTATCATCTGCCAATAGAGGCAATTTTACTTCTTCCTTTCCAAATCTGAATGACTTTTGTTCTCTTTCTTACCTAAGTGCTCTGTTTAGTAGGACTTCTAGTACTATGTTGCCCAGAGTATAACAGTGGGTAACCCCTGCTGGTTTTTTTCCTGTTTTTAGAGAAAAAGCTTAAAACCTTTCACCACTGAGTGTGATGTTAGCTATGGGCTTGTCATATATAGTTGTAATTATGTTGAGATACCGCCTTCCATACCTCATTCATTGATAATTTTTAACATGATCGGATACTGAATTTTTTCAAATGTTTTTCTGCATCTATTAAGATAATCATACAATTTTTGTTAATTTCCTGGTATTTATAGTTATATATACAAATATATAAATACAAATATAAATACATACATATATAATGTTTGGTTACATAAGGGTATATACAGGACCTCAACTATTTTTGCACTTCTTGTGAGTCTAAAATTGTTTCCAAAAAAATGTTTTTGAAAGGAAGGTAGAAATAGAGCTAAGCATGGTATAATGAAAAAGAAATATTTGGTCTGTATCTCTGTGTCCTGGTACATAGCTTCTAAAGCCCTTGTGATCTCTCAAGTGGTAAGACTATCTTTTGTACCCTCATGTTATGACTGGTGGCTGGAGCCCCTACATAACTTCAGGGTGGGGCTGGTAACCAGAAAGACCAAACCATATGATTAGAGGTTTGAAACTTTCAGTTCTGGATATCCCTCTACCTCCAGAGAAGAGAGAGGGGCCAGAAATTGAGTTCAGTCACCAATGGTCAATGATTTAATTAATCATGCCTCCATAATTAAACCTCCATTAAAATGCCAAATGATAGGGTTGGTGAACACATGGAGATTGGGAACATGGTATGCCCAGAGGGTGTGCAAGCCGTCTGTACTGCTCCCCATACCTTGCCCTATGCATCTCTTCCATTTGCCTGTTTCTGAACTGTACCTTTCACAATAAACCAGTGATATAGCAAGTAAAGCACTTTCTTGAATTGTATGAATTATTTTAGTGATTTATCAAACTTAGGGGGAGTTATGAGAACCTCTGACTTTGTAGCCAAGTCGGACCGAAGTGTGGGTAACCTGAGGACCCACCACTTGTGACTGGCCTCTGGAGTAAGAGCAGTCTTCTGGGACTGAGCCCTTAAACCTGTGGAGTCTAATGCTATCGCTGGTAGTTAGTGTCAGAATTCAATTAAATTGTAGGTCACCTAGTTGGTGGCATCCATAGAGAATTAGAGAATTGTTTGGTGTTCTCACACCCACACATTTGGTGTCAGAAGGACTGTGAGTAAAAATGACTCACTAGGTATCTTAGAACAGAAGTAATTTGGGGGCCACCATTTCAATTTTCTTAGAGAAGCTAAAATATTTAGACATCTTCCACTAAACTCTCCAAGAGAAAACAGTCTCAAACCCAGGAAGGTTTTTAGCGCTCTGAAATATCTTACCTTTGGCACTTCTTATTGTTCTAAGTTTCAATACTTGGGATTTCCCAGGAAAATATATTTTTTTCTTAAATTTGGTGGTATTAAAGTATCAGTTGCTGGAAGCTTTATATACATATAAAATTGCTACTTTTTTTAGTGCTTTCATACACTTCCAGTGACAGTTCTAATTTCTCTGTAGTAGGGGCAACGCCCTTGTTGGAACGAAATGATTGAATTTGGTGCCTGGGGTGCAGAGGCCACTGTAGCTGTTGTAGAGCACTGACATAGGATTTGGAAACTGTCAGTTACCCATATCAAAGAATAGGGGGATGTTGCCAAATTGCCACCAGCCCTCCACGGCCTAGCCATGATTATCACATTTCATCCTCACAACAAAGACAAGTGCCTTTTGCCTCATTTTTTAGATAAAGAGATCAAGTCACAGTAGTGAAGTAATTTGCCCTATGCAATGGGATGGCACTGTTGACTGGGCCTTGGACTCCAAGGCTCTGACCATGGTCTGCTGCCCTGTGAACTAGCCAGGCCATGAGGCAAAGGGCATGGCAGCAGGCCTGCAAACTGTGTACTATACCCACAGAGTGGATCAACCCGCGACAAGCATCGTAAAAGGCCCACCACCAAGCGTGCCTCCTCTTCCTTCAGCTGCTGCTCAGCCTGCCTTTGCACTTTGATGCCGGTGATCTGGGCATTCAGCCCCAGGCGTGTGTTCTCCACCAGCTCTTTCTGCCTCCTCGCCTCTTCAGCTTCTCGCTTTTCCTTGGCTAATCGGTCTTCCTCCCAGAGCTTTGAGAACATCTGCTCTTCCACCAGTTTCTGCCTTTTCAGCTCCTCATTGAAAGCTATCTGTGCTTTTCGCTCCTCCCACACCTTCTTCTGATGGATACAAAACAATTCAGCACGGAGCTCCTCACAGCGTTCTCTGAAAGGAGAATTTATTTTTAAAAGGCAAAACCCAGCCTTTCATGAAACACTGCTCTATTCAGGCACACATCTGCACAGACACTGAAGTATGAAAAGTAAAAGACCTGGAGGTAGACCACCAGAGCCGAGAAGACATGTGAGGGGCAGCGGGGAGACAGGCATCATGATGTCACAGGCAAAGCACAGGCACTGGCGTCCGGCCAAGCAGACTTTGAAACCGTGATCTGACATTTCTGTGTGACCTTGGATCACAAACTCGACCTATCTGAGCCTGTCTCTTTATCTGTAAAACAACTCTCTTTCAAGGTTCTGGTAAGGATCAGAGAAAATGGATGAAAATATCTGGTAGTGAATAGAAGCTAAATAAATGGTAACTATTATTATTACCATAGAGGAAATAGAAGAAGCATGGGTCCCTGCAATATTACAAGTAGATTAAGGCTTTGGTAGGAAGAGGCCCTGCATGCCAAGGAAAGAGTTAAGGGTCAGCATATCATGAAGCTGCCCCAATGCCCCTAATTCCTGGTGGGACACATGTCACTGAAGGGGTTTCTGCCAGAGCTGGGAAAATAGCCCAAATGCTACCTTTTCATATCTAGACTTATGTCACCATTCCAGAAGAAATGCTCTTTCAGTAAGTGTTTAGACTTCATCTTTTCTCTCAGTCTTAGTAATTTAAATTTCCTCAAAAGTTCTTCCTGGAGCCTGTTTTTAATTTAAGGGCTATGATATTCAATACTGTCTACACTTTAGATTTACTTAGGGGTATCTTTTTTTTTTTTTTTTTTTTTTTTATTTATTTGACAGAGAGAGACACAGCGAGAGAGGGAACACAAGTAGGGGGAGTGGGAGAGGGAGAAGCAGGCTTCCCGCGGAGCAGGGAGCCCGATGTGGGGCTCGATCCCAGGACCCTGGGATCATGACCTGAGCCGAAGGCAGACGCTTAACCGACTGAGCCACCCAGGCGCCCCTACTTAGGGGTATCTTTAAAATCCTATTCTCCACTCCTTCCCTCTGCTACTCCCAGACCAGACTAGTTAAATCAGAATATCTGGGGGCAGGACCCAGGTACCTGTATTTTTTCAGACAGCCTCAGAAACTTCTGGCACATAGTCAAGTTTGAGAACCTCTGATTCAAGGTAATGTTTATAAACATTAAGTCTTCCTGGTTTCATCAAGTTCAGCACCAAGAAGCTGAAATTTGAGAATGGGCTCAATAAAGAACTTCAAAGAACTTTAGTTGCTAAGGCTGAAAGAAAGGTTGATGTCTAAAATTACAAGTGTGGTCAATACCACAGAAATTGACATTTATCAAATACAGTTGAGTATTGTTCAACATTTGATGAGGACTAGTCTCATTTTCCTAAATAAAGGGGAATCTCTGTGAGGGCTCGGACTTAGGAACATATTTTAGGAATATATTCCCCATACTACCTACCCAATGTCCATTAAATAATTGTTGGTTAAACTGATATACAGTCATGCTTATTAGCAAAATAATGATAACTGGCAGTTATCTATATTCTGTGGAAATCTCAAAAAGATTACAGAAGCTGAAATTGCTAGGTTACCAAAAAAAAAAATTTTAACATTGAAAAATGAATTCATCAGTGACATTCTATCAGAATTGGCCATGACAACTAATTAAAGTCCTTCCCAATCCTATGACTTATACTCCAGAAAAGTTATTCAATCAATGAAAATCTGAAGCCTAAGAATAACAACAAATATGGTTTATGATATTTAAAAAAAAAAGCTTTCTAATTACAAAACTAATACACGCAGAAAAACTGGAAAATATAGAAAAGTATGAAGACACTAAAAATACGCTTAATCCCTCTCCCCAGAGATAACTGCTTTTAGCATGTTACTGTATTTCTTTCCAGTCTTGTGTGTGTGCATTTTTACTAGAATTGGGGTCGTTTTGTAGATCTATATACCTATACTGGTATCTCCTTATATTTTAATTTTTCCACCTAGCATGATTTGGGGAATGTTTCTTCAAGGAATCCTCTTAAAATACCTGACCTCACAACTTTATTATAGTTTATGAAGCTATGGAATAGAGTCTACAACCTATAAATATATCAATTTATTTAAATATTTCCTTGTTTGATGAACGTATAGGTTACTTCTGACTTTTACTATAATGTTGCAATGAATATTTATAAATGTAGCTCTTTCTGCTTACCTCTGATGATTTCCTTAAGGTAATTCCTTTCCTTAATATAAAATCAGAGTACAAAAATGTTGCAAGGCACCTGATGATGCATGTTGCTGAGAAAGCCTGAATTAACACTGTATGAAGATGCCCACATCAAGTATTTCTTTAGATCAGTAGATCTTCAAACTTTGATTAGGTATCCTTTTCAGTAAAAAAAATTCTAAGCACCCACAAACAGGTAAGATTATTATTTATAAATTGTATGCAATTATTACTATATTACTATATCACATAAATTATTAAATATAGCAAAAATAAAAACCAAAGACAGATGAGATTTAAAAAAAAACATCAAATATTTCCTCCCTACATCCTAATGACTCACCTATTCACTTAAAACTTGAGAACACTTGATTCAGGGAAGCTCACTTTTATCTACAGATAAAAGTGTGTCTATCTATTTTCATTATAATAATCATTGATAAGAGGAAAACTTTTTGTTTGTGAGTGTTTTACATGGTACTTTCACAGTAAAATCTTATTTTATCCTCACGTGTGTCTTATAACTTAGATGGAACAGAAAGTACTATCCCCATTTTAGAGTTACACCAATTGAAACTCAGGGAACCTTAGTGTCTTCCCAAGCCACATAGCCAGTAGTTGTAGTATTATTAGCAACAGTTATTGAGTGCTTATTATTTGTCAGGTGCTGTTCTAAGCACTTGACACGTATGAACTCTTGTAATCTTCATAACAACCAATGTTGCAACATCACTCCCAAGTTCATTCTTCTTCTTATTATCCCCAGTTTAGATAAAACGGAAGCACAGAGCAGTTAAGCATCATGGGTAAGTTCACACATTTCATATGTGCTAGAGCTGGGACTGAAGGCCTGGTAGTCTGGCCCTGGAATTTGGGTTCTTTGGTACTTTGTTCTATCACCTCTCAGTAATTAACAAAGGCAAGACAATCCTCAAGTGTTCTGACAACACATCCTAGGGTATTCATTTAATAAAAACACCCCAAAAGAAAACAAAGCCAAAAATTGCCTACCTTAATCTGGGATCCAATCACTAAGTGTATATAAATATAGAACACTTAAACACAAATTTCATGGGACGCCTGGGTAGCTCAGTCGGTTAAGCGGCTGCCTTCGGCTCAGGTCATGATCCCAGGGTCCTGGGATGGAGCCCCACATCGGGCTCCTTGCTCAGCAGGGAGCCTGCTTCTCGCTCTGCCTGCCACTCCCCCTGCTTGTGCACTCTCTCTCTCTGACAAATAAATAAAATCTTAAAAAAAAAAAAAAAAAATTTCATGATGTATCAAAAGCATCATCCATAAAAGAAATGTTGATAAAATGGATTTCATCAAACTTAAAACTTTCTGTGAAAGACCCTGTTAAGAGGATTAAAAAAAAAAAAAAACAACTACAGACTAAGAAGAAAAATGTTTCCAAACCACACAGCCTGCACAAAGGACTCATATCTAGAATATGAGGCGCCTGGGTGGCTCAGTCGGTTAAGCGGCTGCCTTCAGCTCAGGTCATGATCCCAGGGTCCTGGGATTGAGCCCTGCATCCGGCTCCCTGCTCGGTGGGAAGCCTGCTTC